AAATTCTAGACCAGCGTGCGATTTTGTATCGATTTTGTATCGGTAGATGACGCGCCGCTCGCAGCCCATCATATTTGATGCATCAAAGCGCGTCGCGGATGTAACTGAATGCCTCACGAGCCGGGGCAAACACGATCGCGGGCGGACGTTCGCTCAGGCCGCGCGGGTATCGTTTCAGTAGGAAGAGGGGTATATCGCGTGGCGGAAGTAGGATGAAAGTGAAGGAACGGGAAATGGGGGAAATGGGAAAATAAAGAGGGCTCGTTGGAACACCGGCAAAGAGAACGCAGCGCCGGGAGAAAGGGCCGCGGAGAGAAAGAGCGTTGCACGCGAGCGTTCGTTTGACATTAACGGAAGAACAGGGTGGATGGGTGAAATTAGGGACGGCGTTTTTGCTAATTTACTAAGGATCCTCTGAGCAGCGAAGCCACGAAGCGATTAATGCGCGTAACCGTAAAACCTGCTGCTCCGTTGCAGGCTGTTGCGGTTTTGCAGGCAGGCTGGATTCTTCGACGGTTGATCGACTCATTCGCTTTTCATTTTTTTTTTTTTTTTTTTTTTTACAACCTGTGCAGGCTACTTTTTTGCACGCTAGAAGTACGCTTGAGATTTTGAACTGCATTCGAAGAAAATATATTTCCTTGCGAGGTTCCTGTATCCAGTCTTGTCTCTCAGAGAAGAACGCGGTGTCTGAATGCAGCGCTTTGGCGAAGCTCAGGAAGTGCAGACGCAATAATGTTTAGAATCGATCTTGGTTGAAAAGATCGCAGGCTTTTAAAGAACTAATACAGCCACCTACTTTTTAGAGTTTCACTGTCAGTGAAACGCGAGTATCAAAATAACTAGCCCTCTCTTTGTTATTCAGTTCATTGAGGTTTTTTCGTTTACTGAAAGACTCGTTTAACTTTCAGCCTCCAGCAGTAGTAGGGACGTTTTCTTTTGGATTATTTTTGCTGCCGAAGTTTAAGACATTGCCACCAGGGATGAAACTTGAGAATCTTCGAAAATAGTTCACCCTTATCAAGCCCTTACTGGATGACTTATACTAGGTCACAAGTGATTCATATTGAAACTATCTTCATATGCATTTTAGATAGAAAAATTAGTATATTACACTGCATTTACTGTATGTCTAAAAACTATTTTAAATCCTTCTCAGTATCCACTTCTCTTTCAAGAAAACGCTTCTGCGCAAACGTAATATTAAATTGGTATTTGTATAATGGTTAAGAAACGTTTGCATTACTTATACATGTAAATATATTTGTGCAGTGTGAGTGTTATATTTCCTCCAATTTTCAATCGGCAAAGCGTTCAAAGCGTCAGTAATACTTGAAACGCTTTCAGGATTCCAGGTATTTTCGCGCTTTGTAGTCTTCAACATGTGCGTTCAATTGAATTTACAACACGTATAGGAAGAATTAGACATCGATTTTCACGTTCTGTGCGATTTACGTACCGATTGTGGACTTTTTCACTGTGAAATCGTACCACCTGAGATTTGTCATTCCTAATCGGTGTTATGCTACATAATTTTGAGTAAGATATTGTCTGACGCAGAAACATGAGTCAGTCTCATTTTTTAAATAATATCGTTTGAATGGCCACCACGTTTCGTCATTAAAAATTGAAATCTTAAAGCCTCTTTTCGAATAACCATTACAAACGTCTGGAGCTTGCGTTCATTTTCTCGAAATCGATCGCACGGAAAGACTATTTTGCAGCAATTTGACTGGTTGATTGGCTCACAGCCCTGTCGCTTTGTACGAATTCTAGCGGATCAAGTATACGAGAATAATCACCTAAACTACGCGTTCAATCACCGACGCGAACCAATTGGATGGAAGGTCGGCGATATTGTTTCGGGTAAATTATTGCACTCGTATCGACGAGGTCTCGTAATGACCCACATTTCGTGGATCGTTCAGGCGACCTTCCATCTAGGCCGCCTAGAGTGCCGTCGATAACAGCGGGTCATGAACCTTGATAGAATTTTTCTGGTTTATCCGATAACGATCTGATATGAACTGTTATAAAAGTCGATAAGTCGAGGAGGGCATATTGTTGGCTCCGGCTATGTCGCGAGAACGGCGGTGAAACAAACGCTGAGTACGTGGATGCTTTCGAAAGCATGGTAGAAGTAACGTTAAATTGATAGAATGTAGAGCATTCGATATTGTTAGTTGGAAAATTCTGCTTTGAAGTTGTACCATATTTTTTCAGTGTTTCCCTTCTATTCTCGAATCGATCGAAGATGGACCACTTGATGCGAATTTTATCGTTGCTTTAACCGTGCGAAGATTTGTAGGAATTGTTTATAGGGTCCGATTATCAGAATCTTTTTAACTGTAAGTAAATTAAAATCACTCTTCCTTTTTCTACTTACAAACAAGTACTCAGAATAAGTGTTTCTGAGTGAAAAATTCTTATTTTAGACTGCCTAATATTTGTCTAGCAATGGTTACACTTGAATATTTGTTTCCAGGTTTGAACATTTTTAACAGTAGCAATCTCCTTAACGAATATGAAAATGACAGTGTTCGCCTGTTACATAACATAGGAGCAGAAGCTCGCAATATCCTACTCCTTGCGTAAGACACTGACAATTTCGCAGGGATCACAATACAAGTCATCTTCCAGCTAGAGTTTCATAATACCGTTCCTCCATCTTTTTTTTCTTTTTTAAGTAAAGCGATATTTCTCGTGTCAAGAGATTCATGTAATATTTCACACGCCTCAGTATATACCTTCTGTCCCATATCACTGGAGAAAATGGAGTTCGCAAATTGTCTGCTAAGGTTTGATGGCCGAACTATAACACTTTCAACCGTTATAAAAGGAATTTTCCAGCAGGCCACGAAACTTCCTTCACGGATATTATATTTTCTCACACTGGCTAATGAGTATTCCTTTATCGTTGGAAAATTCTTATTACCAGAAATTGTATAATTTAACACCGGACACATAAAATTCTAATCAGGATGTAAATTTCGTTAAATGAGAAGAAAAATTGGAACTACATGTGTAGAACGAAATATTTCGTAGTATTTCAATAAAAAATCACTGAAAAAAGATATTTCAATTTCAATACTTGAGTAGTTGGACGTCTTTGAAACTTTATCTAATTTTTTTATCAAAAAATATCTGTTTAATAAATATGGTAAAAATTATCACAATTTTTTGATCGTTCTACATTTCTACTTTCTCTCGTGACCACATAATTTTTTGTAAGCAGGATTTCTATGAGCGTTTCACGTGGTTAGAGCTGTTGCTCCATCCCGAATGTTATTCGTTTTAATGCTCGCGTATTCGGTCGTTAAAAAAACCAAAGGACGCGTGACTTTCGTCCCGCGTTATCTCGTATCGCCGGCTACAATGGAGTCCCTGATGCATAAAACTGGGACGGACCGTTCGACCTTTTGTGCCGGCGGTATAACTCAAGTGTCACCCCCGTTATTTAACCATAGGTACATCGGATTCACGTATTCTCCAGCGAGCTGTTGCGGCGCCTCCGAAATCGACCGTAGTTGGTCAGCGGAACGGCAAATTGAAAAACAGGAAATTAAATTAAAATCGAAAAATTTATTTGTAGTGTATGGTTCCAGAGATAATTTAAAAACACGAAACAGACGTATAAATGCGAAATGAGATATACAGAGGTACTTGGATGGTAAGGCAGACTATTCCGTTGGCGATGCAGTGCGATTTGTCGGTAAGACTCGGCAATGTAGAACTCCAGCTTAACGGCAGAGTGTACGACAATGCCTACCGAGTAATCTAGCTTATCGACTAATGTGCTAAGAACGCATAAATAATAGTGAGCTTAAATTAATATTTCAAATGGATTTTTCGCTAAATTTCACCCAGCACTGATTAAAATGCCATCATGGAGTGGAGAGACAAAACGCGAAGAAACGCTCCCGAGAACGAGGTTTTTCGTCGATTGTTCGCTATCGATCATTAAACCGGCGGACCGTCTGTCCAAATAATCGATGATTTTGTTGCTCCCCACCGAAAGTTTTCGACGAAAGTTACCAGTCCCCTGTGGCGCCTTTCCTTTACGGCAACGGCGAACTTTAATTTGATTCTTCGAGATTGACGTCGGGTCGATATTATAGAAAGAAAGCGTGGCCAGACGTGGTGGGTTGGGATCGATACGAGAAGTGACGAGTTCATTTTAGGAATAAGAAAAGTTTCCTCGGACCACGGGGGGCCGGAGACGTTACTTCGGGAGCCACTGTCAGATGGCGGATTTCATTACCATGAAATTTTCATGTCCTCGCTATTAAAATTACTATAACCGCGGTATCCAGCGCTTGGCGATATTGAAAATTCACGTACTTTCCATTTTATTACGGACTATTAGGTTGCACGAAAATTACAATCATGGCACGAATGGAAAATGAAATTTCGATATTTTATACTTTTAACGAAGTCTGCATCCGTCGGGTTCAGCTGGTTTTTTTTCAACGCGTCAAGGATTTACCCGATTCCATTATTTCAAAGTCCTCGTGTTTTTGAACGAACGACAATTCACTCCAAGCTACTTTAGTGGTGTTGGTTCTGAATCGTTTTTTTTCATGGATGGAGTTGTCCGAAGTTTTAAAAAAATGATAGGAGGGTCGATGATCGATTGAGTATGAGAGCGACGCGATAATACTCCAAAATCGGATCGCTTTATTTTTTGTACGATCCTTTGGCGTGACACTGTTGATTATTATTGCAATTCTGTTTATTTTGGTAGAACTTAATCTGTCTGTCATTTGTAGATGTATTATTATATTTATATTTATATTTATATTGTTATATTTTGTTTCTAGCGAAATAACCAAAGTAACAAGTGTCTAAATACTTGTGGTCGACAGTAACCCTGTAAGGAATGACATAAATGATCATTCAAACCATGATTCATGAGTCGTGCGTATTTCACTTCCGCTTTGTACATTCGTCAGAACTTCGTGTCACTGCAATATGCTACAATGATGCAATGTCTGTTACAGGTTGCTCCTGCGTTGTCTACAGCAGCTCGGACAAACCTCAAGGTGGCACATTTACATCCCCTTATTATCCCAAGCGATATCCGCCGAATATCGATTGCCTGCTTTACACGTTCATCGGTCAACCTGACGAAATCGTCGAGCTAACGTTTCATCACTTCAATATCCGTCATGTCCGACCCAAGTAAGTACCATTTCTATAACGTATCTTCAAATTTATAAGCCACTATTTTTAAATTTTTCACCAAAATCAAAATTCGTGTATGTTAATTCTATTTTGGATTTATAAATAATCTGCACACTTTCAAATTTGATCCAGCTGTTGAATAATATATTTATCAAACGTATGGAAGTAGATAACACGAATATATACGGAGTGTACTTTAATAAGTAATTGACAGTGGGGATGCAGTTATTTACAATATATGAGAACAAAAGACTCGATGAGCTTACCAGGATTTACTTTCGTTAATTATTTCGTTTCGAATCTATCTGTATTTATAGTTAGTTATTTCTATTTTGTCACGAAATATTTTTAATTTCCTTTGTTCAGAACTTGTATTCTGAACAAATTTATCTAACGATGCTTGCTGGAATTCAGCTTGTCTGGCAATAAAGAAAATGTCGCAAAGGTGGTCGAGCTGGAAGTTGCATTATACATGCACTCGTGCAGTCGAAAGTTGGACGCGAATTTTGAATAAATCATACGGCAAAAAAAAAAAGCGATTTAGAGGTGATCCGAATGTAACAGCGTTTCGTATGTTAAATTATACGAATGCCCATGCTGCTGGCATACATGGGCCTGGCAATCGAATTTGCCAGGAACAGTTTCCAGATTCAAAACATCGTGTCACATAAGATGCTCGTAATTTTCACGATCTCTGTAGGTCCTTGTAGGTCAATTCCATGTTTCTTTTGTGTATCGTATATACATGTATGTATATTGTTAACGAGAAATTTCTTTGTTTAGATTATCCAGAGAATACAAAAGTAAAAATTTAATTTAATGATGGCTGCTATAAAAATATAAATATATAAAATATAACAAATAAAATACACGTTATAACACGTGTAATGAAGTCGTCCTAAGGGGATGTATGAAGGGGTATTAGCCTCGTTCCGTATTATTTTACAGGGAAAGTTTCACTTATTAGAACAGATGCAAGATTTTGTTCAGAGCGTGCTGAATCCGCTTTGGAACCTAATACGGTGCTCGGAGAGGACGTCTCGCAGTTTATCGAGTATCATGCCCGAGAGCAGCTTAAAACGAGAACGATGCAATTCCTTCTTTCGCGTCATTTCAGTTTGGCGAGGTAAAAGAGCAACGCTTCGCATTGCTAGACTGAAATATTCGCGCGATCCAGCGTATTGATATCGATTATTCGACGTTTTTTTCTTGATACATATTACTCACAGGGACATTACGTAGTTATCAGGAAATAAATTAACGGAGATGAATTGAGACAAAATTCGATAGATGGTGTTTAATATACCTTGGTGAATTTAAAAGAAATAATTATGAAAGTAGAATTATGAGAGATCAGTGAAAATAGAAAAAACAAATAAACTGCAAGAAGTAACCATTTTTTTATGGTTAAATGCTAATCACAATTTAAAATAAGAATATAACATTGAATTATATATTATATATAATTATATCTGAGTATAACTTTTTTCCAGAACGAAAATGGAAAAAGAACAACGCGACTTCTTAACGTCGACGTCATCAGATCTCGAAGAAGTTTCTTCATCGACGATTCGCGGATCTTGCTTTTATTTACCTGGCAATCGAAACGAAACAAATTCCAATTTTTCCTGCGGCCAATTTTCCTCTAACGGAAAAGTTCGCCGGAGAATACGGGATGGAATAAAAAAATTACGATTTTCGACGTGTAACATGTCGACGTCACATTCGACGTTCTCTCGTTCCGTTTGGCTTCTCGTCGCAGTACAATTCTCTGCCGCGCGTATTTCAATAAATTGAAACTCGCATACCGTTAAGTTCTCCATTCAACTTTTCGTACCTTCGACGGTGTCTGTTCCGCGACACAATAGAATTCCTACATTCCACCCGGTTCTTGTGTTCTCGTGGCGTTTCTAACTACTCTATACGAAGTAAGTAAATCACTTGATCTTGATTGTACCTCGTAGATCATTTCATGCAAACATTTTTTCTTTTACGACAGAGTTCGTATTTACTTTGGATACGAGCTGTTCTTCGTAATTACATGTGCACGCGAAAGTAAAATTTATTTTTGTCCTCGATAATAGCGTAACTAATAACAACGATATAAATGTCACATGAATGTGTTGAAAACATAATGAATAATTCAGGTGTTTCTTAGGCAAGCGATATTTATAAATACGAGAACGATTAATTATTTTTCTTGTGAATACAAAAGATGTTCCTCGATAATAGCGAGCAGTATACGCTTCGAAGTATTTGTCCCTCCATCATTAGAATCGATTGCAAATGCTCACAAGATGAGATTGATTCGTAACTGGATTCCACATCTCGTTTGAAAATATCCTTCTATGAATGCAGAAAATGATCTACAATACTGAATCAGCAATTTCGCCATCCTTGACATAGGATTCACCCAGAAATCATATTGGAATCTAAAGGATAAGTGGCAACTCAAGGTACCTTACCTTCTACGTAAATACAAAGAGTAAGTAGGACGACTCTGTTACACGATACCACCGTGAGAATTGTCACTTGAAAGCGTGTATTACTGCGCAGGAAACAATTCGTTGCATTCTTCCTCTTTGAAGTCGTCGCGCAGCAGTGTCTCACGCGTTCCCGTGTTTTTGCAACAGGGCACTTGGAAATTCGTCGGGTAACGACCATTCCCGTGGAATTGAATTCTAAATGCGATTCGTCCCTAGACACGCTGTGGAAAGAGTGCGGGGTGACTTTGGGCAGTTTTGCCAGCGCGCGTGCACGAAGCAGCAGAAAGAGAGAGACGAACAGGTTAGCCAATTTGGAGCAACGTTACCTGCTCCCGTACACATGTAAATCCAGAGTAACAAAACGTTCCTTCGGTCCGTAATAAGGATTCACCGTGGAAACAGGGTTCGAAGAGGATTTCCGTCTTTAGATGAAAACGACTTTTGTGTTATTTGAAAGCTGCTGGTATTATTTTTCTAATATCGTCACGGCAGTCTTGGAGGATAAAGGATACGCGGCTGTAACGTTTATGCGATTGCGTGGGAGGAATGCATTTTTCTTCCGTCACTGTGCGATGGTTCTTGAAAGGACGCTTGGCAATAATAGTGAGTTGGGTGGGCATGCAGAGGGGGACGGGGAAGGAAAGGTATTATTGGCATGTCTAGAACTGGCATATGTTTTATTTTACACGTGTGTACTGCTTTGTTTAGTTTTGAAAAAATTAGTACTAGTTTTTATAAGCTTGAAATTACTTTATTTAATTAGTATTCTATTATTTTTTATTATCTTTTTATAATTTTATATTTTATAAATATGATACCTTCTGAGCGTATGTAACAATACTAATAATACAAATATGTTATTGACGAGAGGAGATAATAACCTAATACAGAATCTGTTTCACCGAGCAAACTCTGGAAATACTTCAGGCTGAGAGAATCAACTGAATTATTTCTGAATATAATTTTTTTCCCCATTCATGTATTATGAAAAAGAGTAAAAAAAGAAATTGTAGTGCACTCTATTCATGAACCTACTTCAACCTTAAAAATCACACGATATTCAAATGAATTTTAATGCCAGTGAAAAATGTTTTTCAAAATATTAATAGAGAGATGAAAATATAAACGTGAAAAGGTAGACATATAAAACTCACCCATTCGAAGTTTATCGATAGCGTTTTCGAAGTAATAACAATCTCTGTAATATATTTTTAATAACTAGTTAAAGCCTATAAAAATATCTCAAGGTAATTTGTATTCTAATATTCCAACCAAAGTGATTGAATGGAGAATTTAATAATGGAGAACCATTAAAATTAACGAACGTAATATAATCTGCATACCGGAATCGATTTATCGTTGATTTAATAAATATTCAGCGTGGAAAATTTCATTTTCAGAATATATATGTTCATTTCGTTCCGAAACGTTAGAGTTTTCATTTAAATTCGGATTTAGCGTGCCTGTAAAAGCACGATTTTTTGTAGAATTTCCGTTCTACTGTTCTCTCCTCGTTCCTTGTTTTCAAGACAATAAAAATTCCCCGCGACCAAGTTGTGCGCGTACTTCACCAAATTACGTTCTAACCAGACCATTAAAACCAAACAGTCTAATTCAGACCGCTCTCAAACTCTAGTACATACGCAAATCCAGCCAATTCCTAGCCTTGCCTGAGCATGTATTTAAGATATGACCAATTCCGTCCAATTCGTATAGATTCGGAACTTAGTTCTCGAGAGTTTCGCTCGAACTGTTGTGTATACCGATGATATTGGTTCAGCGATTAGCTCGACCATACTCGACGGAACAAGTAGTTTGCGAACTACGTCGCACTATTCATAACAATCTTGTCGGAGATTTCAACCTAATTGAAAGGGCACGATAAAACAAGTAATAATGCTTGCGTACCAGTTACCATTATTGACTTGGTTTCGTTAATTAAATTTAGATTGATAATAAACAGATATCACTTCGGTAATATTTCTTCGACTTGACGTGATATTTAATCACACTTAAAAAATTCAAAATTATCGCTTCGGGCAAATTAATAATTATAGCCGTTTATTTGAACGTGCAATTTTATTTTACAATTAAGATTTAATTATCTTCGAAGAGGGGGATGAAAAGTTTTTTATTAGTTGTTTACTATTCGAAATTGACATCAGAATAAGCATTTTGCCAACGTCTGACACTCATTTCTCTGTGAACGTGTACCCTGATGGCCTATAAATATGTATTTGCATTCATCGGAATGCTGATCGTTAAAGCACATTGCATCCCTGCTCTATAGGGAGACGCTTCATTTGAATTCTATGTTCAAAACTCAGTTTCTTACTTCGCGGCGGTACGATTTTCTTCATTGATATTCATATACAATCGCTGGCATTCTGGCGACAGATATGCATGGGAATAGTGGACGTTTCCATGACACAATTTTAGAAGCGTTTCTGCAAACTTTACTGATAGTAATCGTTATCTTCGTTTCAAGTATTATCTATTATGCTAATAAAT